GGGTACCCTTTGGTTTTACATTAAGTGGGATGAAGATACAGATTATAGAAAAGTTATTCAAGAAGATCCCATTAAAATCTTTAAAGTTATAACTTAAAAATTCAACCAAAATGTTCAAAATTACTTTTTATAAATAGGAAAAAAAATTACTTTTTTAAAAGGGGGTAAATTTAACCAGTGAAAAGTCCCCTTATCTTACAACCTAAAATCAATATATAAATTGTTTCTTAAGTCAAAATTTAAGGTTTCAATGTGAGTTTGTTACTTAGCCAGTGCACCAAATATTTTCGGTTTTCCAGAATACCAGCAAACTGACTTCCTTTCCCATGTAGTTTTCCAGTTGTCTATAGAGATTTCCTGTTGCAAATATTATTCCCAAGTCCAGTTCTGAATGTGCCAATGTCAGTGATCATCATCCAGCATTAAAATAGCCTTTATCGCCCTCAATGTCCACTTCCTGATCAGAATCCTCTGAAACCTCTGACTCAAGGTCTTCCTGGGAGGCAGGGAAAGGCAAACATTGAGAGCTATCCAAAGCACCTTTATTCTGTTCACTGGGCAAGTCTTGCCTCTGATTGCAGGGATCATCCAAACTTTCCAGTTCCTCTTTTTTATTGCTTTGAGGGTTCTCGTGCTTTAGTCTTCGCCATTTAGCGCGTAGATTCTGAAACTAGGTTTTGACTTGTCTCCCGTTGAGCTGCAACATCTTGGCCAGACGCTTCCTCTCAGGCTGGGAGAGGTATTTCTGGGTCTCAAACTTCTCCAGTTCTATAGTCTGGTCTTGGAGAACCTCACCTGGCCGCCTTTCCTTTTATGCAGAGGCCTCTGCAAGAAAGGGCTCCAGAGCAGAGGTTTGCCCAGGGGGTCGTGGCGGAGCTGGGCGTGTGTGTAGTCGTTCAGTTCACCGTCCGCGGAAAGGGGTACAGAGGGCCCCGGAAACTGCCGGGTCCGTAGGCTGCAGCCAGCACAGCAGCGGCAGCAGAGTGGTGCGAGAAGGCAGAGTGGATTGGTGTGGGTTCCTACACCGGGTCGGTAGGAGAACACGAGGCTGGTGAAGGAGGAGTTGGGGGACGGCAGCTATATGTTGGCTGTACGTTTGTCATATAAGGCTTTTATTATGTTCAGGTATGATCCCTCTATTCCCACTTTGCTGAGAGTGTTTATCAAGAAAGGGTGTTGGATTTTGTCAAGTACTTTTTCTGCATCAATTGATATGATTATGTGATTTTTGTTTCTCAACGGAGACTACTTTAATAGTAATGTGTCAATAAAGCCAATAAAGTAGATCAATTTTTAACAGAGTAAAAAGGAAGGATAGAGAAAAGCTAAAGCAGGAGAAGAGAATCGGGATGAAAATGGGAAAAGTGAGGAAGAAAGTGTTAGCATAAAGGAAAAATTGAGATAGAGTAAAATAATGATTAAAAAAATAAAAATAGAATGTAGAACACTACTTCACAAAAATAAAAATGTAAAAAAAGGTAAAAAAATAATAAAAGTAATAAAAAAAAAAGTGAAAAAAATTTTTAGTTTCTTAAGTAAAAGATAACAAAAAAGTGAAGTAGTGAAGTTCATTAGCTTCATCGGAGCTTCAATGTCCCATGAGGGCTGGTTTAAGACCCCTCTCTGCTGTTCTGCCTGCCACATCTCAGTTTCTTGTCAGATAGCACAGTGTTGAAGTTTCCAGTGATCCACCGCTCCTCTGCCATGACCTTGGTTTCAAGCAGACAGAATCAATCTGCCCACTTTGTTTTTCTGCCTGCTTTTAGTTGTTTTACACAAGTGCCTATTTCTGACATGGCCCCTAGGTGGCGGTTTTTCTGTATTAGTTTCTGGGACCAAATGGCCCCTCAACCCAGTCCCCCAGGGCTCCCTGGGGATATTTAGAATCTTCCTTTCCCTGCTGAGCTCAAGACTGGGTGCGGCTGCGCTACTAGGAGGAGAAAAATGTTCAGTATTGAGGGATGGATTGTCCCAGAGCTGGCTTCCTGCTCCTTTCTCTCTATTCTCCCCAGTTTCCACAAAAACCACCTTCCCCTGCAGTCTCGGTAAGTGTTTTTTTATCAAAAGATCCTATGCACTGGGTTTAGCAAGTAAAAAGTTTAAAAGACAGCAACCATGCCGCCTTGCCCTTTCTTTCCCCCGGCTCTGTGCAACTGGTAGAGAACTTTAGGCTGCCTTTCTGGGTGCAGTATCCCATGGCTGTGGGCTTTGATCTAGAGTCCTCCACTGCCAGCAGCCCTGTGGACTGCTACATTTGAAGGGCTACACTGACCTCAAGAGACAGGGATTTGGTGCAGTGCATTCTCCCTCTGAGACTCTAGTCCCGGCTGCACACATTTCTCCCTCTAGCCCAGATCCCCAATCTCACCTCTCTCCAGGTGATCTCTGACCTTTCCGTCCATGGATTATCTCACCAGCTGTGTTTAATTCCCCAATTTCGGGTGGTTGTTATTCGATTCAGCTGTTTCTTCTGTCTCCTCTGTTAGAAGGCACAGGACCCATCAGTCTATTCAGCTGCCACCTTGTCTGCCCCTGGACAAACTTTTTAGGCGCCTGTGGCCAGGTAGGCTGGAGTCTCAGTGTTCATGGGTTCGCAGCTGAGGCAGCTGGTCCTTGGGCGTTGTGGCTGCAGGGTCCCGGGTGGTATCTGAGGTCTCCCAGAGTAAAGGTAAAGTTAGGCTTCCTATCACAGCCGCTCTCCTCTTCAAGATGGCACGGTCTCTGTGGCAGAGCCGGCCGCTCCGGGAGAGATTGCAGTGGTGGTAGAGGCTGCCTGGCCAGGGGAGCCTGGTCTGCCAGTCCCCAACCGTCCTATGGAATATAACTGTCCCTCACTCACAAATACACACACTCCCTGCACACCCACGCACTCACCTTTCACTCTTGTACTCACTCACACTATCTTGCTCACTGCTGTCCTGTTGGCTGCCATCTTCCCTGTTCCCAGTTGTAGCACTTTCATTTAGCCAGCTTTCCAGCAGTTCTGGATGATGGTGGTTCTGCATTTTAGTTGTAATTTTGATGTGGTTGTGAGAGAGGTGGCAAGTACAGGCGTTTACCTACACTACCATCTTCCGAGAGCTGTATCCATTCCTATTGTTCTTTCCTGCAACATCTTAAACCACCCTTCAACTAAACACAGGTGAGGCTGTATGCATTTAAAGCCCAGCTTACTTATCTGTTTCTCACTTTTCCCACTAGCTCTCTATCCATTTCCCTCTGGGTCTTTTTGGACTTTACCTCCGCTGAAAAAATCTTTCCTGACTTGCCTCTGCCCCAAAGACTGGATTAGGGGTCTCACCTCTATGCTTATCCCTGTCACAGCATCTAGCACAGTGTATTGTAATTGTATGTTTTCCGGCCAGTTTTCTCCTTACACCATAAAAGCCTCTTCCATGTGCAGGACACATTGCGAGTTAGATGTATATTAGTTTTTTTTTTTGAGTATTTACTATATTCACCTAGTTCAAAGCCCAAAATATTAACAAACATATCGGTAGAGACTTGAGCACATGGTCTCTTTCTGTCATTAAGGATATTTGGGGGACAGGATATACACATGAATACATGTGGTATTGACTCAGTGATGTCAGTGTGGTATGCCAGGTGAGTTACTAGTTGCTGAGTCAATTAAGGAAAGCTTTATTGGAAGAAGTAGGACCTAGTTGAGTAGTGAGAGAATATGGTACCTTGTGTGAGAAGATGAAGGGAATGGAGAAATAGGACTTGGAGAAGTACTGGAAGTGGGTGAGAAATGTGGACAAGATGAAGTAGGAAGACAGAATCTAAGAGGAAAATGAGAAATGCTGAGAAAATGAGTCACTCAAAAGGATCACCTTGATACAATGAGAAGAATCTTAAAGAAGGAAGGGGGAGAGTCTATAGAGGACCAATATGAACAGAAAGGCACATAAATAAATATAAAGACACCTTTTAGACATTTGTGGCCTAACCCAAGGCCCCATGGAAAATGGCCACCTTATTCTTCCTTAGCTGCTCGATCTAATTGGACTGCTGTTTCCTATAAGTTGTGACTCCTTTCCTCCAATGGTATAAGTGGTTTCCTTTAAGCTTTCTTTTCATTTGCTAATTCATTTATTGGACCTGCATACTGGCAATATGACTACATATTTGTAAAATTCCACTCCAACCAACAGAACTTAGATGCTCCTTTAGAGTCAATTTTAATGAATTTTTGCTTTCTGTTGTGGTAAGACAGGAATCCTGTTGTTATACTTAAGTCATATAACTAGTTGGAATGATAGATTATATCGGAGCAAATCAAAAGAGTTTTACCCAGGCTGTTGTTTTAAATTTGAAAGTCTTTTGATATACATAATAAGAAACTCATTGAAATCTGAAGTTTGTCCTTTTAGGAGCTGAGTATAAAAGAAGACCAATTCAACTATTAGAATGAAGTAAAAATACAGTCATTTCTTTTATAATTAATGTTTATTCAGTTCAGATTTTGAAACCTATATTTAAATATTTTAAAACTGAAATGTTGGAGAAAAATTCTTAGTGGTTAATTACATCATACTTATAATACTGCTAGAAGTAATTTCTGCATTGTTTTGTTCAGGAGAACCAAAGTATTAAATTTTATTCAGTGGTGGTCAGACGGCCCAACCTTTCCGATGAAAAATTGGTGAAATTATTTTTTAGGCTCAAAATGGACTTATGCTTATGAAAACAATGGACATTTTAAAGAACAAGACAGCATTTATATGTAGCAGTTGTTATATATTGAATGTCTTCACGGGGGGGGGGGGCTTGGCTTGATTCCCCCCATCCTTAAGACCTTTACAGCCATAATCAATAAATTATAGTACATTGGTTATTGAAAAAGTTCACCACCACATTGTTAATATATTGTTGTTTTACTTTGTGTTTTAAATGGACGTTCAACCCTTTTTAATAAGCTTACATGGTAGAAATACCAAAATAATAAAAATTTATATGTGTTCTTCCCTTAAGCATGTGTGTGTTTAATCTTACAGGCTGTAGAAAATCTCTGTTCTTACAAGATTTCTGCAAACTTGTACAAACAGCTGAGACAGATTTGTGAAGATCACATCAAAGCACAGATTCATCAGTTCAGAGAATATCCTTTTAAAAACAAAACATCTTGTATTTTTATCATTTATTCTCTCCTATCCTTCACTATTTAATCCAGCTTGAAATGGAATACAGTCAAACCTCATTTCTCCAATGTCTCCCATCTTGAATAATTCAGTTCTCAACCAAGTTGTTTACAAAAATAATATCTTGGTTGTTGAACCAACTTCCTTGGTTTTTGACCTGACAACCCTTTCATGCTTGTACAAAGGAGAGAATGTTTTTGTTGCTGGTGAAATCCCACAATTAGTACAATTTTAAAACATAAAGAGGCCATCGAGAATGCTAATGTTGCTAAGGGTGTGAAAGAAACAATGATCATGAGCAATTGGAGAGGTAGAAAAACCGTTGTTGATTTGGATAAACGAAAAGCAGTTAGCCAGTGACAGCATTTCAGACAGTGATAATGTGAAAAAGCAAAGATGCTGCATGTTGACCTGAAAGACACCTATAGAACAAGAGCTGAAAGTGATTCCTTTAAGGGTAGTAGGGGCTGATTTGATAAATTTAAGAAAAGAAGTGTTGATTTATAGATTAAACAATACATTAGACATGTACTGTATATAAGAAAGGTTGAAAGAGAATCATTTGGGGTCTGGAATGGATTAATTCAATTTACATGATTTCTAATGGAAAAAAATGAATCAATTTATGAACAAATTGCTTCTTGAACAGCCTTCTGGAATGAAGTAAGTTTGAGAACTGAGGTTCCACTGTAGCTGTGTTTTGTAGATTTAATTTTGTTTATTTTGCTTCTAGAGAAAGAATTTTTTAGCTTTAATTAGTATCTAAGTCCTAATATGTGGTATTAATGTAAATAAAATGTTCTTGCATCTTTACCCTTTCCTAGCCCTAACAAATTTCCATTTGAGGAAAGATAATTTAAGGAAATTACAAACTGAAAACACAATGCTCAATTATGTTTAAGATTTGTTTTTTTAAAAATATATTTTAATTAATTTCAGAGAAGAAGGGAGAGGGAGAGAAAAACATCAATAATAGAATCATAGATCGGTTGCCTCCTGCACGCCCCCTACTGGGGGTCAAGCCCGCAACCCAGGCATGTGCCCTTGACTGGAGTTGAACCCGGGACCCTTCAGTCCATAGGCCGACCTCTATCCACTGTGCCAACCCAGCTAGGACAAGACTTGTTTTTTAGGTATTTTTAGTGAGATACAATATTTTTACAGTTCAAGAAATGGCACTTTGTTCTATAATTAAGTACTATTTCGTTTCATTAGTATGTAAGGTATTCCAAATTTAAGACAAATGTGCTCTTACTTTGCACATGCCACTTGTACTAAGCACTTTAAAATGTCCTTGACGTACATCTCACGGATTCATTGGATAGTGTTCTTTTTCTAAAGAAGATTGATCGATGCTGGCAGAACCACTGTAGACAAATGGTAAGCTGTAAAAAGTATTACATTTTAGCTAAATATTGTAGTTAAAAAATAAATTTCTTTAAATACAGGAATGTTAGTTTTAAAAGCTATGAAGTAGGGGCCTGCCTCAGTATCTGTTCTTCTGAATTGGAAACTAATTTTGGCTTTGTTTTCTGTTTTGAAAATGCAAGTTATAACTAAGCAAGCATTTAATTTTTTTTAATGTTAATTGATTTGAGAGAGAGAGACATTGATGTGAGAGAGAAACATTGATTGATTGCCTCCTGTACATGCCTCGACCGGGGATCAAACCCAAAACCTAGGTATGTGCCCTGACCAGGAATTGAACTTGCAATTCTTTGGTGCCCAGGCCAATACTCTAACCATTGAACAACACCGCCCAGGACTTCATTCCCTGTTTTTTATTTTCAGTTCTCTTTTTTAAAATTTATTGATTTTAGAACGATATATATATATATATATATATATATACACACACACACACACACACACATATATATACATACAGTAGGTTCTTGGGTTACATCGGAGATCTGTTCCTACGGCGAAATGTAACCGATTTTCGCCATTAAGTTGGAACCCACCTACATAAGCACCTACGTCACTCACATGGAGCACATACACAGCAGTAATGAAGTGAAACAGTAAAAAAATTTAAAAGAAAAATAACAATTCCTGACCTTTACTTGTGGAAAATAAATAATAAAAAAAACATAAAGCACATATGTACATATGTTGAAATGACTGAACTTTCTTTTTATAAATAAATGGGAGATGGCGATATAACCACGAAATGACGTACGTCGAGTCTGACCTAACCCGAGGACTGTCTGTGTGTGTGTGCATAAATACATATATGTGTGTTGTTCTACTTATTTATGCATTCATTGTTTGATTCTTGTATGTGTCCGGGACAGGGATCAAACCTGCAACTTTAGTATATTGGGATGATGCTCTAACCAACTGAGCTACCCCACCAGGACCTCTGTTACTTCTCAAGTTGCAAAGAAGTCATAGGATCATTTTAAGTGCCCCTTTTCTGGAAACTACAGAAGGATTAAGATAATAGAGTAGTTTAATAAAAATGGTATGGGCATATTCTATGGTATATCTGTTCATCTGTATGTTTGATCTTAGTAGTCTAGTATATATTCAAGCGAATCCTGCAATTTTATTCTTATTTTATTGAGTGCAAGTATTTCAGCCTCACAAAATATAAAAATTGCTTGATTTCTTTCTTTTTTTTATTGACAGATCATGATCAGGAGCATTTTTTTGTTTCTGGATAGAACTTACGTTCTTCAGAATTCAATGCTACCCTCCATTTGGTAAGGATGCTAGAAAAAAATTTTGAAAAGATTTGTTACAAATCATTGTCAAATATTAATTACACTAATTGAAGAGATTAAGTGATACTGTGAATATTCTCCTAAAACCTCACATTTGGCTTCTTAAAACATATTTATAGCAGTTTTACCTTCTTATGTTTTACGCTAATATTAGAGATAGCTAACATTCACTGAGCCTATGATAATTTATAAAGTTTTTCTATGGGAATTAAAGTTTATCTTTGAAATCTTTGGGCCGATTAAAATTAGTGGGTGTGCATAGTAGAAACTGTTTCTATGCTCCCCTATATATTACCAAAATAAGGAGTTCCTGTAAGCAGCACAGATAATTTCTTTACCTTCCTAATAAAAGCAGAGAAACTTGAAAAAGGCAGCCACGGCAAGACTTTGGAGATGGAGATATATATATATAAAAGAATTAATATGAGTGTGTATTATTTTGTTGCTGATTAAAAATTTGCTTATTATCCTTTTGTTGTTGTTAATCCTTACCCAAGGATATTTTTCCATTGATTTTTAGAGAAGGTGGAAGGGGTGGGGGGGAGACAGCGAGAGAAACATGGATGTGCGAGAGACACATTGATTCGTTGCTTGGGGCCTGCAACTGAATACATGCCTTTGACCAGAATCGAACCCATGACCCTTCAGTCTGAGGGCTGACTTCTCCATCCACTGAGTCAAACCAGCCAGGGATGCTCATTATCTTTTAACAATTTTATGGAAAATTCCAGCTATACAGGAAAATAGAATAGTGTAATGAGCTCTTCCCCCACCATGTGTACCTAGCATCTACCTATAGCAATTATCAGAGTTGCTGATTTTTGAGTACTAAAGCCAGATGACAAATGACCAATTAAGCCTTCATTAACAGTACAGTGAAGACCATTTTATAACTTTGAACTAATTTTATCTCTTAATTTGACCAAGGAAGAAATCCACCAAAGGAGATAATATAACAAAACTTAGTTATGGAGGAAGATAGGAGTTTAGCCTTAGTTCTCATTAGAGACAAAATGAGTTTCCTGTATACTTTAGTTTAATAATGTTATTTAAAACTAGAGGCCCAGTGCACGAAATTCATGCATGGGTAGGGTCCCTAGCAGCTGCCAGCTGCCAGCTGGGGCCTTCCTTCCCTGGCTGCCAGCTAGCGCCTTCTTTCATTCCACGCCACCCCCTGGTAGCGCACGTCATAGCGAGTGATCAAACTCCTGGTTGGTTGAACTTCCAATGGGACACTTTGCATATTAGGCTTTTATATATATAGATTCAATGTGTGGATTTTATCCTGTAATTTTACAATGGCTGTTTCAAAGCCTGGAGCCCTAATTAACATGTATGTCTCTCCAGAAGTGGTATTGCTGTCAATTAATTTAGATTATATTTTTATTTTAGGGACATGGGATTGGAGTTATTTAGGGCTCATATTATAAGTGATCAAAAAGTCCAGACTAAGACAATTGATGGCATTCTTCTGTTGATTGAGAGAGAAAGGAATGGTGAAGCAATTGATAGAAGTTTACTCCGAAGCCTTTTAAGCATGCTCTCTGACTTGCAAGTAAGTTAACTACTTCACTTACTACAGAGCTGATGGTTATCCCTAGTTTGATGTGTAAAAACCAAATTAATAGTGTTGTTTACATAAAGAACATTCAATAAGTAGCTAATGAATAAATAAACTCCCATTATTTTGTTTCTCCCTCCCAGATTTATCAGGATTCTTTTGAACAACGATTTTTGGAAGAAACTAACCGGCTTTACGCAGCTGAAGGCCAAAAATTAATGCAGGAAAGAGAGGTATTTAAAAATCATGATTAATAAATCCACTGTATCGCACAATAGACCTTACTTATAGAACATAAGCTGCCCTTTGCATTTATCTTCCCAACATTGTGATGCTTTTCTCTCACTTAGGTGCTCCTTTCTTTTCTCTCTTCTTAAAGGCCAGAATTCTGGATCATAAACTCTACCTATAATTTTACATATGATTCAACCCTGCCACATTTGGCAGGGCTGCTTCCAGGATCTTTTGGACTTGACATTTTCTGAATGATTTATGGGGAGGAAAACAATAATATAAAAAACTATCTTTGTAGGTTCCTGAATATCTTCATCATGTTAACAAACGTCTAGAAGAAGAAGCAGACAGACTTATTACTTACTTAGATCAGACCACCCAGTAAGTATGACAAGCTCTGCCTAATAGCCTTAACCTGTGTTGTCGAATTGCTTAAGGCACTTTAGGCATCCCAACCATGTTAGTAACTATTTTCAGGTGTGAATTGAGATTGCTTAACAATTGTTTTTATAATACAATCTTCAAGTTGTTATTTGATTAAGGTTAAGGATATGATTATTGGTTGTGTGTATGTGTTTAGGATGTAATTTAAAAATAATGTTAGAAGCTGGTTATCTTTGAAATCTTTGGGCCGATTAAAATTCAGTGGGTGTGCATAGTAGAAACTGTTTCTATGCTCCCCTATATATTACCAAAATAAGGAGTTCCTGTAAGCAGCATAGATAATTTCTTTACCTTCCTAATAAAAGCAGAGAAACTTGAAAAAGGCAGCCACAGCAAGACCTTGGATATATCTATATATATATCTACACTAATAAAAGAGAAACACGCAAATTGGTGTCACTCTGCTATGCCCACCAGCCAATCAGAGTGACTATGCAAATTAACCCAAGAAATATGGCAGTTAATTTGCATATGCAGGCACGGAGCGAAGACTGAAGGCTCCGGCCAGAGTTAAGACTGAAGACTGAAGAGGCTTGGCTTCTCCGCTGTGGCCACAGCGGAGAAGCCAAACCTCGCTGCGGCCAGAGGGGAAAAGCCTAGCCTTGAGGCTTGGCTTCTTCGCTGTGGCCAGACCAAAGGCCTGGGTCCCAGGTGCCTGAGGAAAACCGGTGCCGGCAGCCAGGGGAAGGAAGGCCTATTGCGTAAATCTTCATGCATTGGGCTTCTAGTATATATATAAAAGCTAAGTGACCAGCTGACTGGCTGGTAGGTATGATGCGCATTGACTACTAGGAGGCAAACACTCAACGCCGGAGCTGCCAAGCAACAGCAACTGCAGAGTGCCCTTTCGCATTCTGGGACCCCTCGGAGGATGTCGGACTGCCGGTTTTGGCCTGATCCCTGCAGGCCAAGTCGAGGGACCCCACCTGCCAGAGGGACCCTGCTCACTCTGCAGATGCCCTTCCATCCCCATTGCCACCTTCCAGGGAGGAACCGCAGGAGGTTGGCTCCAGGGCATGTCCAGCCTGTCTCGCCCAGTCCCACCCCACCAGCCACCTTCTAATTAATTTCCTTTCAATGTGCAGGAATCTGTGCACCGGGCCTCTAGCTTATTTGATAATGTAAATCAAGGTTTGAAATATGCAGTCTTTTCCTTCTTTTAGGCATAGAGTAATGCTGATCATCAATAAATTTATACATAGGACAGGAATATTAAAATGAACATAAAATAAGCTATTTGATTTTTCTCACCCAGAAGAGGTTTTAAAATTTCAGAAAAGTCAAATCTCAGTAATTCTAAACTCTTTTTTTTCTTTGTAGGAAGTCATTAATCGCTACTGTAGAAAAACAACTTCTAGGTGAACACTTAACAGCAATTCTTCAGAAAGGTAATTGGCAATTTATAAATCAAACTACAATTTATAAATCAGATAGCAGCAAACAATTGAAACAAATTTAAAGATTGCACTTTTAAAAGCTTGATAGCTGTGGTGGCTGCACTTCTAAGGATGGATACAACCCTTTTTTCCTATTCACAGTGAAGTTTGAAGAGGTGCTCCTTTCCTTAACTTAAGATACAGGAACTAAGATGAGAGAGGTCCACCAACACTGGTGAAGAAACAGTGGGAATTTGGGAATTCTTGATTTAATTTCTAACACTACAGTAAGGAAAGGCATTCCGTTTTGCATTAAAGTGTTTTTGTTCGTAGCATATAAAACTAAGCACTTCTACCAAGCATTGCTAAGTGATCTTAGAGTATACCCTGCATTTACTTTGATAATGCCAGTGATAGGTAAAAAGTCTGGCTTTCAACCATCTTTTCTTTTGTATAAAATGGATATATTTTCGAACTTGAATATACTGTTACTTCATTCTGAAAATAAAATACATTAGAACCTCATTTAAACTTGGACTATTAATGTATGGTTCTTGATATACTAGAGGCCATATCCAATACTCTGATATATAGCTATGTACACTAATGCCAGATATAGTATGGCTACTAAAGATATGAGATTTTTATAATGTGCATTTATACAAATTTGTTTTTATAAATTGGTTTAAACATCTGATCTACCATGCTAAATGGTACAAACAGTTACACAATTATTTTTATATAGGCTGAAGTTTCCTATATTTAGTTTTCACTTGGAAAAGTGATTGTCTATTTGGGTTTAATTTAAAGCAAATCTTTATATAAAATTCACAGACTAGTCATAGCTCAGTCCAGTATTGCAATAATAATTTAACTTAATTTTCATTAAAATATCCGTCATTTTTGTTTACTTTTTAAATACCAAAATGTTTCAAATTTCAGGTTTAAATAACCTTCTTGATGAAAACCGAATTCAAGACTTATCTCTTCTGTATCAGCTCTTTAGTAGAGTTCGAGGGGGAGTTCAGGTTCTCTTGCAACAGTGGATTGAATACATTAAGGTACTAACAATTGTGATTATTTTTTCTCCATAATGGTTTATAATCTGTACACCTAGAGTGCAGATCAGCAAGTATTTTTTACTAGTACTTGTTAGATCCAGTATTTTTAAAAAAATGTTAGCCCTAGCCAGTTCAGCTCAGTGGGATAGAGCACCGGCCTGTGGACCAAAAGGCCCCGGGTTCGATTTCGGTCAAGGGCACATACCTTTGTTGCAGGCTCCTCCCCAGCCTGGGCCCTGGTTGGGGTGCGTGCAGGAGGCAACCAATCAATGTGTTTCTCTCACATCAATATTTCTCTCTGTCTTTCCCTCTTCCTTCCACTTTCTCTAAAAATCAATGGAAAAATATCCTTGAGTGAGAATTTAAATAAATAAATAATAAAATAAAATTTTAATCCTTAGAGGACATACTCAGAGGAAGGGAGCAAGAGAGAGAGAGAAACATTGATGTGAGAAAGAAACATCGATTGGTTGCCCTGACTGGGGATCAGACCCAGTATGTGCCCTTACTGGGAATCAAACTGGCAATCTTTCAGTGCACAGGACAACACTCAACCAACTGAGCCACTCTGGTTGGGCCCAATATTTTTTAAGTAATGGGTGTTTTGAGAGCAGGCAACCTGAGAATGATAGCTGTGTGGTAAATCAGCAATTAAACATTTACCTTCTTGACGTTGGCTATAATTTCTAGCTACAATGCTTATAGCAGTGAATATGGAAAGAGGACTTTTATTGGATCCAAAATTTCCTTCCCTTTCTTAAATCTTTACACTGAAGGCAGAGTGCCATTTTTATAAAACTTAAAGTTGACTTCTTTAAAAGTATGAAAAAGAGCCTAGAGTCTTAACAATCATGTCTCATTATGATATTGTGTACCCAGTGCTCATTTGTTATTTTGTGGTACAGAGGAATGGTATCAGTGTAGATGTTTTATCACTTTATTTTTTCCTGACTTCAAAAACAGCTTTATTTTACTTGTTGAGATTTAAAAATACGTATACGTACTTAAAATATGATTTGGGGATTGTTTTCATTGTGGATAATTCAACTTTAGTAAAAAGTGGTAATTTTTGTTGTTTAGGCATTTGGCAGCACAATTGTAATTAATCCTGAAAAAGATAAAACCATGGTTCAAGAATTGCTGGATTTTAAAGATAAGGTTGACCATATTATTGATATCTGTTTTCTGAAGAACGAAAAATTTATCAACGCTATGAAAGAAGCATTTGAAACATTCATTAACAAGAGACCAAATAAACCTGCTGAACTTATAGGTACTTTTCCAATCTCTTTTTTCCAGTTATTAAATGTTTTTCTTTTATTCATAAAATTTCTGAAATTTTGACAGGATGGCAATATAACAACACCGTTTATTTGATGTTGCTTAGCTGGTAGTTTCTAAGAACCTGAATGTAAGGAATATTAATTCTTGAAACTAAAGAAAGATTCAAAGTCAACCTGTCAAACATAATGTTCTTTCATTGTAAGACAGTACATTGGACCCTATTTATTTTTGTTTATAATAAGCTTGAGATCTGTTTTATAAGCCCACAGCAGTTTAGAGGGCCAGGGTGCTATTTTTAGAGGCTCACAGTTAGGGGTACAAGAAAGTATAGCAGAAATTAAAATTGCCAGTGAGAAAAGGAAAATGCCCAGGACAAAAACAAACCAAATAATCTGGGCCCACTTAGTGTAAGGGTGTGATTTACTGTAGTGTTTCTCAGGTTTTCCCACCTAAGTACCCCTTAATGTCAGAAGAGGATGTACTCTGAGAAGGTCTAGGGTCTTCTGCGAAAAAGATAAAATTTCATTGGTGTACTACTTTTACTTAATTTTTTTGCCTTCAACTCTGTAATTCATATGGTTTGTTTTAATAGAAAAGTAGTGTTTAAGGTTGCTTACCATCATTGTAAAATGGACACTCTAGTGGAAAGTACATTAGGTCTAGAGTCAGAAGACTTGGATTTGAGTTAAGACGGAAATATTTGCTAACTCTGTGACATTGTTGAAAGAAATGCATGTATACCTCTGAAGCACGGAAAAACTCAGTATATCATACTTCTGTATATGTAATGCCCAGTATGATAAAGGATATCTATGATCACTAAACAACAAACTTTCCCCCCATTTTAGCTAAGTATGTAGATTCAAAGCTTCGTGCTGGCAACAAAGAAGCTACAGATGAAGAACTAGAAAAAATGTTGGATAAAATTATGATCATATTTAGATTTATCTATGGTAAGTTTATTTTTATTTTAATATTTTTCTTTTAAAACACTCAACAGAGAAATTAGCAAGTAAAGTCAACCTGGAAGGAATATTATTTGGGAGTTAATGTAAAATTGTATTTGGGATATTTAAAATTCGATTACATTCCTTGCATTTAATTCATTGTGATGCTTGAGGAATATTATTTAATTGCCCTGTGTTTTGACTTTTCCATTATTAGTAGCCTTGATTTTTGTTACTTGTTGTAATCTCTAGAGCAGCGATTCTCAACCTGTGGGTCGCGACCCCTTTGGCAGTGGAACAACCCTTTCACAGGGGTCGCCTAAGACCATCCTGCATATCAGATATTTACATTACGATTCATAACAGTAGCAACATTACAGTTATGAAGTAGCAACGAAAATAATTTTATGGTTGGGTCACAACATGAGGAACTGTACTTAAAGGGCCAGAAGGTTGAGAACCACTGCTCTAGAGTATTGATGCTAGAGCTACTAGTTGACTAAAGCTTTTCTTTTTTTAAATTTATTTTTAATTTTTTTTTCTTAATCCTCACCCAGGGATAGTTTTCCATTGATTTTTAGAGAGAGTGGAAGGGACAGGGAGAGACAGGGAAAAAACATCAATGTGAGAGGGACACATCAATTGGTTGCCTCTCACACGCACACTGACCAGGGCCAAGGGATCAAGCCTGCAGCCTAGATACATGCCCTTGATCAGAATTGAACCCGGGACCCTTTAGTCTGCAGGCTTGCACTCTATCCACTGAGCCAAACCGGCTAGGGTGACTAAAACTTTTCTAAAGAAAAGTTAATGCAGTCTTAATTCTTTGTAGCAAGGAACTTTATTTTTGTTAATACTCATCCTAAGGTATTTTTTCCATTGATATAAAGAGAGTAGAAGGAAGGGATGGAGGGAGGAAGAGAGAGACAGACAGACATCGATCGGTTGCCTCCTGCACATGCCTACCAAAGCTGGGGATTAAACCTGCAATCCAGGTATGAGCCTGAGCCCTTGACTAAGAATTGAACCTGAGACCCTTCAGTGCATGGGCCAGTGCTCTAACCACTGAGAAATACTGGCCAGGGCACAAGGAACTTTTGAAACATCTGATAGAAATGTCTGCCTCTAATATTTCTTGCATTTAGTGAACTTGGATAAAATGTATAAATTTAAATAACTTGGAGTAATAGTGTGATTTATTAAATACTTCAAAGCAATTTTATCAGAACTTTTAATTGGAGTTTTTTATTATTTAAAATAGGCAAGGATGTTTTTGAGGCCTTCTATAAGAAAGATTTAGCCAAACGCCTGCTAGTTGGGAAGAGTGCATCTGTAGATGCTGAAAAATCAATGCTTTCCAAACTTAAACATGGTATGTTTGTCATTCTTTCTGTTCATTTTCTCTTTGACTTCTGGGGGGGCGGGTTGTTAGCTTAATTTTTACTGTTTTGTCAATTATTCTATGTTCATATGATGAAAATGTAAATTGAGTAAGTTCTTGAGGTTTCCAGTCTATTTTTGCAAACATGTCCAGAGCTGTTGTGATTCTTAAAAAATAAAAGATTGTTCTTGTTTTTATTATTTGTATAAAAATTTTCCCATTTATTTTATTTCTAAGTAGGAGATAAGGTTGCTACTATAGGATTAAAGAGTTTGATTCTCAATTAGTGGGGCATACACTTTAGGGTAGGGATTTTTTTATTCTTATGAATAATTATAGATCATAGTTCATGCTATTACTTTGTTTTACAATCATGTTTTTAATTTTAAATTCCTTGTTTTTAACCACTTTGTAATATTATAAATGTATAAACATCTTTAATAGAATGTGGAGCTGCTTTCACCAGCAAACTTGAAGGGATGTTTAAAGACATGGAACTTTCTAAAGACATCATGATTCAGTTCAAACAGGTAAAAGTGAGTTAAACTCTTACTTCATTCCTTGAACTTTAAATATATTTAATTATCTACTTGCTGTGGTTTGTATTGAAAAGGATAAATAGAAACATGTTTTTATAAATATTTCATAGCAACTTAAGTGAAATGTAAGTATATTTGACCTATTTTAATATTCTCAATGTATACCAAAGATAACACAAAAATAGAAATAAAGTGTATTGAGCTGAAGTCAGAACAAGAAAAGCTGTAGCTAGATAATGAGAACAGGACTTTCTCTAGCATCTAATCATTGTTGATGATTCACATGTTGAAAGCTGGCAATGGAGAGGGAGGAGACGTGACAGAGTGGTTGTGTAAGGCCTTTGGGGACATTGGCAATGAGAAGCTAGATCCACAGTTTCGCAGATGTTGTGATAGGTGGTTTTCAAATATTTAAAGGCATAAGAATAGTGATAGCAAATGAGATTTTCTTCTCTTAGGGTTTTAATAATGACTTTTTTATCACTATATTGCTACAGTGGGAAATGAGAATTGAAGACTCAAGAGAAAGATCAAGATCAGTAGGATCATGGGTCCTGTGGTAGCTACAGAATAGGGTTTATCTGCTTTGCCCTTTCCCCTTTTTCTTCCTTCCCCACTTCAGGTCATCGCCTGTTTGCAAGTGAAAAACCGGAGACTTGGGCTGGCTGGTGGGGTGAGGAATGGGGGTTGCTGCAAGGTGTTCCAAACCACATAGGGGTCTCCAAAGGTGGGGACTGCCGGTGGTATGGGGAAAACAATGGAGAAGAGATTCTATAACAGCCCAGCTATATGTGAGAGACCACTTAAGTTGATAATGCTTCTATTGAGGTCATGTGGCCTTGTGCCATTGTAACAAAATGTTAACCAGTACACTTTAAAATATATATATATATATATTTTTTTTTTTTACTGATTTTTTACAGAGAGGAAGGGAGAGGGATAGAGAGTTAGAAACATCGATGAGAGAGAAACATCGATCAGCTGCCTCCTGTACACCCCCTACTGGGGATGTGCCCACAACCAAGGTACATGCCCTTGACCGGAATCGAACCTGGGACCTTTCAGTCCGCAGGCCGACGCTCTATCCACTGAGCCAAACTGGTTAGGACAACCAGTGCACTTTTGCAGTGCATTTAATATAGGCTTCATTTTTAGTCCTTTAATAGTTGACTTTTATTTTAGAGATGGTCAGTATTTGCATGTAATTTTATAATGGGGAACTTCTTGAATGGGTCATTATTGTGAAATGAAATGTTTGCATTTTCAGTTTTAAAATCTCAGTATGTGTGTTTGATTTTATTGTAGTATATGCAGAACCAGAATGTACCTGGGAATATTGAATTAACTGTGAATATCCTGACAATGGGTTATTGGCCAACATATGTGCCTATGGAAGTCCATTTACCACCAGAGGTAAGAATTGCTGTTTAGGACTTGAATTATAAGCATAGAAATACATGACACTTCTATTTTGTTTGTCATTGAAAAATAGATACTTTTAATAAGAGTTTGTGTCAGTAAGCACACCAATGCAAAATGCCAGCTGTTTTAATATTTTACTCTTCTATTTATATTAATATTATTAGAGCCTAAAGATGCCAAGTTTCTGGGTTCAGGGCTGATTTCCCTGGCTCTTCTTTCATTTCCCAAGATTGTACTCACCTCTCTGGTCAGCTCTCAAAAAGTCTTGCTCATGTGTCACCTGGGGATTGGATTGCTGAGTGATGAGGGCTTGAGTAAATCCATCCTAATTCCTTGGGGAAATGTTGAACCTCAGTATTGAAGCTTAGAAAAGGGGTTAAGACTAGAGAGATAGATAACTGAAAATCCTCCAAGGAGATAATCATGGACACCCAGGGAGTAGATCTCTCTCATTAGGAGGGAGAATGTAGAAACAGGAAGAAGATGGCTGAAGCAGAACTTTGGAAAGGGTTGCAATTTGGAAAGTGGTTGGAAGAGGAACCTGTAAAGAAAACCAATGAAGAAGCAATAGTGAGAGAGAGGATCTAGCATGGTGCAGAGGCACAAAAGGCATTGGAGGTAAATGTTTCAAAAGAGGGAATGATTAAAGCAAGAGTGTGAAGACTGATAAATGCCATTAGATTTGGTAGCTGGGGGACCATTGCCTTATATCAGTGATCAGTGAACCTATTGGATAGTCTTAAAAACATCCAGAAATTAGTATACATGAGGTAAATATAAAGAGTGGTGAATGTGTGATATTGGAAACAGCTTAAATAAAGCTTTATTTTATTTACTGTAGATGGTAAAACTTCAGGAGATTTTCAAGACATTTTACCTAGGCAAACATAGTGGCAGGAAACTTCAATGGCAGTCAACCCTAGGACACTGTGTGTTAAAGGCAGAATTTAAAGAGGTAAGTGGATGTTCCCCAAACTTAATTTTCATGTTCATCTTTGATATTGAGGTCATCCCTCCTAACTTGTTTATAACTGCATCTTTAATGTCTATATGACAGTGATAGCTTGTCACAGCTTTCTGTATATTATAAGAATTTGGTCTTTTCCACAGTTGATTTGTCCCTGCTGCAAAACCAAGAACAGTACCCCTTTCATCCACTCTTTCCCCACCCGTGGATGTACTAATAGAATCCACTGCCACTTCTTGACAGAAAACTTCTTGTTGCTGGGAGCTTGAGAATAGAGTTCCTGCAGCTTTTCATGACTTACCTGAATCAAAAAAGTCAAAAAATGCATTTGAAATAGTGATTTCTTGGTGCTCATGATAAATGTCTGTAATGACAAATAAGAAGGCTAAGTTATTAGTTTTCATTACTTTGTTGTTCAGTTTTAATTATGAGGCTTTAAAAAAGACTTTAGAAACATCACCCAATACTTCCTCCTGTTTTAGGTAAGGCCACACTTAAGCCCAATACTGAACATACTGGCTTTTCTGGATACTGTTAATCCATATTTCTAAGTCCAATAATTGAAAAACAAATGCTTTCCCTGTAAGAGAGTAGTTATTTGATTAATGCTTTATATATATATATTTTAAAAATGATGGCTAAACATTGCTGTTTCTCTAACAGGGTAAAAAAGAACTCCAAGTCTCTCTTTTTCAAACACTGGTGCTGCTGATGTTTAATGAGGGAGAGGAGTTCAGTTTAGAAGAGATCAAGCAGGCTACTGGAATAGGTTTGTGTTGAATCAGTTGATTAGCAAGCATTATTCAGTGTCCACTCTGTGCACTCTGCTAGGTTAAGAGCTCTGGGGGGATATAAAGGAATAATCCCTCTCTTTGGCACTCATAATGTAACCACTGGGAAAGGGGGAAATGACACTTGAAATAATTTCAAGTACCAGTCTGTGGTGCTGACTCTCAGTGTGTTAGGAATTTGGCAAAGCAAGAGATCACTGTGGACTGGTACATTTGGGAAAGCCTTTATGAAGGGGGTGGGACTTGAGTTGGACCTTCAAGCTTTAGTTAGGGAGAAAGCATATGCTGCAAGTGGAGATAATTGTGAGAAAAGACTTTCCGAGGTAACGACGAGCACAGTGTGCGCAGGAGTCATGAAGAGTTTAACTGCAGCACAGAATCCTATATAATAAAGATGTAATATGCAAATGGTTATGTAACGACCGAGCGCATAAAGACAGGATCACAGATCAGCAGGAGGGTGAAGCAGTGAGATATAAGCAGGCAGTGGAGAGCTACAGGAGGGAGCAGGGCAGCAAGCTATGGGGAGGAGGGCGGGGCAGCTGGTGGAGAGCTACAGTAGGGCAGCAGTGAGCTACTGGCTCACTGATTCGTGTGCAGGGCTACTAGTAGGGAGATAAAAAGTTAGGGTAAGATGGGTAGAGACTTACAAATCTAGCAAGTGAAATATATTGTAGGGTCTCAAGTGTGTGACATAATGGAAGTGACTTATGTAGGGCAGCTTGAAAGATGAAGAGGTTCCAGTCCAGTAACTAGTGGGGTAATTCTGTCATAAAATGATAGGGGCTTAGACTAGAATGAGGCCAATGAGAATGGAGAAGAGGCATCTCTAAGGAAGCAACAACTTACTAGATAAGTGGAGGATGAAGGAGAAGAAAGATAATTGCAGGGTTTCTCACCCGAATAGGTTGGTAGATTCATGACTAACAGTTGGAAAGAAGACCCAGTTTTATGGGGAAGATGATGAATAAAATTTTGAACATACTGGAGTAGATGATAGTAAAAACAGCCAGGTGGAGGTGTCCTTTAAATGTGGGACTGGCCCTAACCGGTTTGGCTCAGTGGATAGAGCATCGGCCTGCAGACTGAAAGGTCCCAGGTTCGATTCCGGTCAAGGGCATGTACCTTGATTGCAGGCACATCCCCAGTATGTGTAGGAGGCAGCTGATCGATGTTTCTCTCTCATCGATGTTTCTAACTCTCTATCCCTCTCCCTTCCTCTCTGTAAAAAAAAAAAACAAATAAATAAATGTGGGACTGGAGAGAAGTGAGATAAAATTTCTGAAGGTTTGGTAGTTAATTCACATGGAATGGTAATTCAAGACTTTAGAGGATGACCAGGAAAAAAAGTCATTAGATGAAATACAGAGGGAGTCATTGGTGACCGTGGAGTAAAAAGGAAACAATATTAATAGAGGGATGGGGTGGAAGCTACATCGAGGTTGAATGTAGCTATTCTTGTTGATGAGCTATTATAAATGACTAAGCCACTATTTCTTCTTCAGAGGATGGCGAATTAAGGAGAACCCTGCAGTCTTTGGCCTGTGGCAAAGCTAGAGTTCTGGCAAAAAATCCGAAGGGCAAAGATATTGAAGATGGTGACAAGTTCATTTGTAATGATGATTTCAAACACAAACTTTTCAGGATAAAGATCAACCAAATCCAAATGAAAGAAACGGTATTTCTTTTACATTCTCCTCATCCTAATGCACTGGAATTATATGTGTTCGTGATAAAAATTTATAAAGAAGATTTTATAGCTATAATACTACCACTGGTGTTAATATTTTCTATGGCTATCTCTATTTAGCTCAATGTATTTCAGTATTTTGCAGGGTTTTTTTTTTTTTTTTGCAAGGGAGGTGCACATAGACTTGATATTTAACAGTTTTATATCCTGCTTTTTGTGTTTAATATTAAATCTTTAGACTTCTTCCATGCCATTAAATAAATATCTTGATAAAATGGCAGATGGCCATACAATATTCTTTTACAGGGCTAAGAAATTTTTAGTATTAGTATTTATAAATAAAACTGTAAGAAACCTCTTTGTACCTAAAAATCTCTCTGAGCCTCCTCTTATGATAAATTCATGGAAGTAGATCTTTTGGGTTGACGAGTATGAACATTTGAAGAATCTTAATACATTATGTCATATTGTGTTTCTGAAAGGCTGTACCAATTTACACTCTTGTCTGGCAGCATGACTGCCTGACTTAACAGTGCCCTCAACCGCACTAAAGATTGTATTTTCTTTTTAAAATTTTTGTCAACTTGCTTGATGAAAAATCTGAATGATTTAGTATTTCTGTGATTAACAGTGAATATTTTGTTGGTTTTTGCCTTTTGAATTTGTATGACTTTTATTAAGGAACCAATAGCATTAATTGAAACCAGAAAAAGTTTTAATGTGGGACAGAGTTCAATATCTCAGGCAAGCTCCTGTTTTGTTCACATCAAAGGTGTGATATTCACTTAGAAGATGACTGTGTCCTTTTTAAACATTTATGATGTATCAGAAAGAAATTGCTGGCAAAAAGCCCAAATTATTCTTTTGATGTAAGTGCCAAAAAATTATTTTCAAAAATTTTTTTAATTAATTAATTAATTTATTTTTCAGAGAGAGGCAGGGAAAGGGAGAGATATAGAAACATTAATGATGAGAGAAAGTCATTGATTGGCTGCCCCCTGCATGCCCTAGCCTGCAACCCAGGCATAGGCCATGACCAGGAATCGAACCATGACCTCCTGGTTTATAGGTTGACGCTCAACCACTGAGCTACACCAGCAGGGTACAAAAATTATTAAGAAATAGTTTGACTCTGTTAGTTTAGCTTGTTAGTACGATACTTTGAGTCAGAGGTCAGAGTCAATCATTTTTACAGAGAAGCTAATGTCAAGCTAATGTCATACAGAAATCTACTCAAACAATCCCCTTGTGACACTTTGAGAAGTTCTCACGGACAGAATAAAAGAAAAATGACAAGTACAATATCTTCTGGTGTCTACTTCTAGAAAAAACAACTCAAAAGATGTATTTTTTATTAACCTAATATTGACATTACTTCATAGGTACAGGGCACTATAATTAGGACAGAAAGAAGTTATTTTTTTTCCTTGTCATTTTCTGTATTTATAAAGGTCCTTTAGATAATTCAGCATATTTAGTGCATTAACAGTGTCATGTTCCTAAAATATACAATTAGTGTAAGTAATCAAGTTTAACTTGAGATACAATTTCTAAGTGAAACTTTTTTTGTTAGGTTGAGGAACAAGCAAGCACTACAGAAAGAGTATTTCAAGACAGACAGTATCAAATTGATGCTGCAATTGTTCGAATTATGAAGATGAGGAAGACACTTAGCCACAACCTCCTGGTTTCAGAAGTGTACAACCAGTTGAAATTTCCAGTAAAGGTAGGTACATCTGTGTTTTTATATTGAGCTTGTCCTATATAATAAAAGCGTAATATGCAAATTGACCGAATGGCAGAA